AAAATGTCAAACTCGCCCATTTCGTATGCATGCGCTACTATTATATCGAACGTGCTGTTCAAATTCGCACGAGTTTTTGTTGTTGGGGGATTTAATATACATACCATACCATAATAAATATAATTTTGTTTAGTTACAAGACCACTTTTTCAAAACGTTTGAAACAAAAAAGATAGAAAAAACAATCTTTTTTATAGGGGTGCCCTATTTAAAAGCAGAAAAATTGCCATATAAAGTGCTAGATATATGGTATCTTGAACAAAATTGCTTGAAATAATTGTTTCTACAACTTTACTGCAGAATGTAACCACCTATAACTTAAATCAAAAATGTTTAAATCTTTATTCACCCTAATAAACATTTTCATAATATGAAGGCTCATTTAATCATAAAAAGCTTCTGCGAAGACAGCAACCCCCTAAAATCAACAGAAACGCAAAATCTTGCAAAATTGCCGTTTCGGGCCAGTGCTAAACTTGATTTTCTAAAATTAATTTAAGGCCTCTTAAAAATATACAAAATATAAGCTACATAACCAAAAATGTACCAAAATAATTTAGTGTTTGGTGTGTCTCTATGGAGCATGGGTCAACTTTAGCGAGGTCTAATTGCCCATCGGAGAACCTGGATCAGAGAAAGGTTGTTTGCAAAAGTTGTCAGGTCATATTTTATTAGCATCGACATTTTCACCTAGGTTTGGTATAGTGATTTTATTTGACACACACAAATTTGAAACAGGAGCACATTTACGGAATGACCACCGACTGGATACCCGAGCAAAGCTGAAGATCAAATTGAAATCAAAATTTGCTGTTATGATGTAACTTATTTTGAATACTCCAGTTGATCTCATTTTGGTTGACTTAACGGTTAACACAGCAAAAATGAGAGCAAAATTTTACACTGTTGAAGCAAACGGAAAACTAATCCTGCTTTCAATGAAATCAATTTGATTACTGATTTTGCATTCATAATGTTTAACTGAATACGGGCCTAGAGTAAATGGTTACCATTCATGTTTCTCAAGCTGAAAGACTTAGGCTCCAATCTCACCGCGGGCAAGTCACGAATGACCTAAAATATGTTAAACAAATCAGATAAACGATAATCATTAGTTCAACGACAGATGAATTTCAATTAAATTTTAAACAAAACGTAAACAGCAGAACTTCAAGTTAAGTTGCTTTCATTTAAAAAGTCTTGACTGCATAATGAAAGCACAATATGATATCAGACTTATATCGCAACATTTGAAATCAAAATGAGTTTTCATTATGATAGGAACTGCACACTTTAAGGTTCAATTTACTTTGATGCTTTTTGGAAAATTTCAAAAGCAGTTTTTTCCGACGCATTATTTCAGATTGCAAAAAGCTCGCACTATTCGATTCCTTTTGATATTTTACACAAAATGACGCGAGCTTTTTGCAATCTAAAATAATGAGTCGGAAAAAACTGCTTTTGAAATTTTCCAAAAAGCATCAAAGTAAATTGAACCTTAATATCGATTTGCTTTCATTTTGTTAACCGACTTTGCTCGGGTAATCTCGGTCACGTTCCTAATGCGTCCCTACATTTCTTTTCAATTCGTTTATTTTAAAAGGCTCTATCGCGGGAGATAATTCTGTTTGGAAGCATTACAAATATCACTTAAATCTGCCCCAAGCGTCTCTAGGGATGGTACTGATTACTGATGTTTCATTCGAGATTAGAAGGTTTACATTGTTCAGCATAAGATGAGGGGAGGACTTCTGAAATGGGGTTTCATTGTCTTATCAGATAATTGTCGCTAGTAATTGTTGCGGTTCTTATATTGCTCAAGATTCCGGAGACGATGTACAATCAGTTTCCTTCTGGGTCAGTTTAGGCTTAGATAATCAAAACACGAGAAACGCGGTCAACGGGTGAACTATTTTTTTCTCCCTGCGCATTCATAACTTTGCACGCTAAGATCAATTTACTTAGATTGCACAAAAAAAAATATCTTGATTGGGTGCATACCGAACGAACCCAAATGGTGTTCATATATGATTTATTTTTATGCAAAATTGGCATAAATTTTCCCGTGTTTTGGTTCGTCCAGTTTACGCCCAATTTGAGTAATCTATGTAGCGTGCAGAGTAATTTGTGATTAACATTTATATCTGCATTTGCGTGAACAAACACGTTGAGTACCGATTTCTGTCTGAAACAACAGTGATTCATACCAGAAACCAACCAACCGTGAGCGACCCTCGGTTGGCGAGAAGAGGGCCTTCAAAGATTTGTTTACAAAAAGCTTGTATGCCCTTTTCACATGTGACTCTTGATATTGTAAACTTTTCTTATCTGCAGACTGCTATCGACAGCTGTTCCGTCGGAACGTTGCGAGCCACATTTCACGTTTAGATGGCATTAGTTCGATGGATGTTGACTTTCGGCTGCTAAACTTTTAGCTCACCCGTTGGCCGACAGATAGCACGCTATTAATGTTACTTTTCGAGTAAAAGCAGGGATGTCCGACTGAGAAATCTATGTTTTAATTATCTAAGGTTTAGGCCAGTTCCATGTAAAATATTCATTTTGAAGCATTGCAAAGTTTGTATCTGGCAAAAATAAGACACTTTTAAAGTGCCACTGGTCTTTAAAGCGTACATAGACGTATGCCTGGTCTGCACTTATTTGGGGCCTAGAGCAAAGACAACTACGAAATATCATAAAATATCACTTAAGAAAATATAACCATTTGCTTGAAATTAATGTACAACATTTTAAGCAGATGCAAAGTTAAAACACAAATAAAGCTAAATCAATTATAAACTGATGCTTAAATAAAAATATTCTAGCAAAAACACGAGTGTAGAAATTAAATATGGTTAAATAGCAATACTTTGAAAGCAAACCCCAAAATTGATCGAAAAGCTTCTTCTTCTTCTTCTTCTTCTTCTTCGTATTTCAAGCTTATTGATTATCGCATATTAGCTTCTTGCGTGCTCTTAACTTAGTGTTCTAGATGCACTTCCACAGTTGTTAATTGAGAGCTTTCGATGCCTGTACCATTTTTGCATTAGTATAACTGCGTAGCAAATACAATCATACTGTATGACCAGAGAAGTCGAGAAATTTTCCAAACCCAAAAAATTCCTAAACCGGACCGGGAATTAAACCCAGCCACTTCGAGCATAGTCTTGCATTGTAGCTACGCCTTTACCGATTGAGCTAAGGGAGGCCCCAAAAGCAGCTAGTAGTCTTAAAAATGTCCTGATTTCGTTTCCTGTCTGATGGAAATGTACAGACCTTTGGCGATACGTTTCCTTTTGCAAAGGTTTGATTTATAACCCTAAAATATGTATGTATGTAAAGATTAATGAAGGTTTAGAAGTCGCGCAAATGGCTTGAAATTAGTATGGGAATTATTATTGCAGCATTTTAAATTTCACTTATATCGCCAGAAATTCCGGAATGTTAGAAATATGAAAAAAAAAATGCAAAATATGGTAAAGGGACTGTTCATAAACCCGCCTAAAGTGGGGGTTGTCAATTGTCTACAGTCCATACAATTTTAAATAAAAATATATAGATGATTGTCTATGTGGAGGTGAGAAGGGGTTGAGACCCCCTTCTTTAAAAAATGGTCTACATAGTTTATGAATAGCCCCAAATTGATAGTTGACTAAGTACCAGACAACAAAACAAGTTCCATCCCAACAACAACAAGCTTGCTGTTTATTGTCATGGCAACCATACATTATTAGTTTTCAACGATCGGACAACTAGAACCCAAGTAAGAGCAATGCAAGTGAAATTCAATAATTTCCCATAGTAATTCACCAAAATCTTCTTATAAAGTTCAAACCATTTGGGCGACCTCTAAACCTTCATCAATCTTTACTAATCATTAATGCAGGCTCATATTTTGAAGCTACGAATCAAACTGGAGGGTGGCCTAGAAATCTAACACTCACACACACAGCACACTAATGATCATTGAAGCATTTTAATTGCATTTGCTAACTGGTTTACCAAATAAAATGTAAAAGTGAACATGAGTGTACCAGTATTACACTTTGGAACCATGGGTCACTAAATTCTTCCCAAAATCCACAATCTCATAAAATATCAGCTCTTTTCGTTGAGAGATAAAAAAGTAATTCACCATTTCGTCATTTTGATAGAAGCCAAATTTGATGGTTGACTCGAGAAATGTTAAGGTCAAGTTTGATTTAATTTTTTTTTTAAATTGAAAAACTTTGCTTTGAAGGGCTATAAAGTTTGTCGTTTTTTACGAGTTCTTTTTATCCTATAAAGTAACTGATTTCATGAATATATAGTATAATTTCATCATAATTTTTAAATGTATTAATCAAAAGTATAACAGAAACATTTTCGTAAATTTACAATTTGGCACATTGATGTATTTTCTGGCCTTAACATACAGCAATACAACTTAAATTGTACGTGAATTTCAGATTTATTTCATTGAATTACTGATCGTTAAGCGTGTATTTTTATATGGAAAACCCAGCTCCAGCTTGTAGTCGAATATTACAAAATATTTTTATCTGTTTAATGAGTGAAATCAAAAACCCTGCATATAATTTGAAGCCTGGAAAAATCTGAAAAGCTAAGATAATTTCAACATTAATTTTTGTTGCTTCCCTATAAACAAATTCTACCACACGCAACACACCATGTCTTGCTTAATATGTTTATAATCCTTTGCGAGTGGGAGCAAGTTACAACAAAGAAAAATATAAATGAAATATGCAAGAGTCAAGTGCCTGCATGTCGGAGAAGAGTGAATATATGATGACAGCAAAGCGTAAAAGTATCACATTTACAAAACTCCCCACCACCCCAGCTCGTCATGACAGCTTACAGTGTACTTCTCAATTACGCAGAATTCCCCCACTGGCAGTCCCAGTGCCGTACTTTGATCGAAAGATTTGTCTCGACAAGGAGCGAAGTTCAAAACATTTCACAGAATGCAGTAGCAGGTATCGCATTCACACAATACTTACCCGAATTTTCCGCACAATTTTCCGGCTGTCGTTCTTGATGTCGAGCGTTACTGTAACGTTTTCCCCGTGTACGTACGCCGCTTTGTTGAGCGAAGCTTTCAGATTGACACGCCCGTCGGCCCACAGGAATGGTTTGTCCACGGATAGCTGCGGTCCCTGAGGGGTTGGTTCGAGTTTGATGGGATGGAAAAAGAGTGGAAAAACGAACTGGTTAAATGTATGGTTTTGCATTATTTCTGTATGAGTGTGTGTGTGTGTGTGTGAGCCGCTTCACCATTGTTATCGTTGTCGTTGGGTATGAATACGGTTAGTGATTTCAAATTAGCCGCATTTGACGACACAATGGATCTGCATGTTACAAGTCGATAGTGAGCATGCATAAGAGCGTATACGCGATGATCGATTCGCTTCGTAGATTTTCTCTTTTGTTAATAACTTGCTAGATTTAACGTTTCTCGGTGCGTATGCTGTTGCTTTTGATAGTCAACAAAACCTGTTACAACTCTACAACTCTGCATTTAACAAATTCTAGAAAATTGTTTCGCTTAGCTGTAGCAATGCAAAGAGAAAATCGATGAAGGGAATCGATCATCGCGTATACGCTCTTATGCATGCTCACTGTGGAATTGTTCTACTGCACGTTCAAGGGCGTAGCCAGGATTCGAAGTAGGGGGGGGGGGGTGGTGCTGGTGGACCAAAAAATGTTTTTTTTATGGAGAATTAGGTTAGACGCCGATTAGCTGAACACCATTATGCCGAGCGCTATTTCAAACATGTTTATATTCAGACGGAATTTTATGAATTTGTATTAAAATTCAACAAGTTTATAAATAATGTATTTAGGGTGCCAGAACCTTTCAAAAATCTAGGGATTGTCTTCAAGTTTCGAGTTTCTTCTAGTCGTATTAATATTAAGTTAGTTGTAAGTCTTACAATCCTCTGATTTTCCACTCTAGGATCTTTTTAATTTTCCTTGAAACCCCTATCATTATATTTTTTAATTTACCCAAGAATTTTCTTAGCAAAAAATTTCAAGTTATCTCATTCAAATTATTGATAAAGAGGACGGGAATCATGTTCAATAACATTAGGAAGAAAACCAGAATTAATAATTAACCAGTGTGGAAAAGCGATAAATTGGTTTTACAAATTGTTTAAGGAATCTGGAGCTTGCAGAAATTAAGATCCAAAGAATAGATTTTTTAAAGTCACGAACTCATGTTTTGCTCGATATCTGAATTTAATTTTCACCAGACAGTGACAGATTTTCAAAATTCGGAGTCCTATATAATTTTATTTTATTCCTGCTTCGGTAGCAATTCGAGCATATTTTATTAAAACCAAGACTTATTAAAAGATCATAACCTTGCAATAATAGTCCTTTTAATGTTGTCCATATAGTTAACTCTAAACGATTAGCATTTAGAAAATTTTACAATATGTTGTTTCTTCGACAATTTAACAAAGCAAAATGATAAAACATCTTTAATTTAGTTGAAGATGCTAATTTCAAATTACAGACAAAAGTGGTAATTTTTATACGAGAGATGAGGAGATTAAAGTATAAAACTTACCACTTTAGTCTGTTATTTGAAATTAGCATCTTCAACTATGTAAATCGTTGACTTCACGCATAAGTAATACAAAACATATAGATAAAGTATCTTAAATATCCCTAACTTATTAAAATTTTCAATAAACGTATAGTTGTAAAGATGTTGCGCGTTTTTGCATGAAAATGATTTTATTATTCTACAATTTGGTGAACGTTCAATATTAAATTTTTTTTTTATATTATCGAAGAAATTCCCAATTCCTTATCTATTTATCTTTAAAAACCTACAAAATTATGTTTGAAAACTTAGTCTTGGTAGAGATCTTAAAATAATAGATCTCTACCAAGACTAAGTTCGATAACAGTTTTTCAATAATCATCATTAACTTGAACATTTGTACACACATTTTATTTTAGATTTTACTTAAAGTATGGGTTAGGATTTGATAAAAAAAAATGGCACTTATGATTATTTTTAGACCATCCTGGAATAAAGTTCACAAAAGTCGTAAAAATTGAAAATTTTAATTTGTTTCCCACCTAATTGGAATTCCCTTCAAATTTTCACCATCTACTGAATTTTTTGAAATTCACTCTACAGTATTGTTGGTATTCTCATGAAACCTCGCACTTCAGTTTGTTCCTTTTGTAACTTCTTCAGATTTACCTATAAGCATTTTTCAGAAACCTTTTGGAATTCACCTTCGGCCTGCTATCGAAGTTTGCTAATAATTTTCTTCAAACTTACCTCAGAACACTCCTGAAAATTTCCTCAGAACGTTGTTAAAATTCTTCTTAGAATGTTTCAAGGGTTCTCCTTAAAATTGCCTAATATTTATTAAGAACCCCTTTGAAATTATCTCTCGAGCTCAGATTCTTGGGAAAGTTTTAGAGTCATTGAAGTTGCATGGAAGAGAAAAAACTCAAAGTTTCAAATAGATTTAAATAACAAAATATTTTAAATTTTAAAATTCTGAATAATAATTCTCAGTCTATTAACCAAGAATCATGGAGATTTTCGTAGTCTGTTACTAACAAGAAAAAAAAATGTTGCTTTTTTTCAAGTTTGATGAAATAATTAATCTATCTTCAATCTGATTTGGAAACTCAAACAAATGTGGAAAAGAAACATTAATAAAAAGTTGACAAAAGCTAGTTAAACTAAAAATTTAAACTTTTTTCTAGATACATGAAATCTTTAAATCATCAGAATTCTATGATGTTTTTTATTGTGCCTCCCCCCCCCCCGTTTCCCAGGCTACGCCTATGTGCATGATCATTGAACAATGCGCAGGGAAGTTACTCTTTTTTAGTAGATAATTGAGTTATTGATTGCTTAACCAACTGAAGAAATGTAACTGCTTTAAAATGAGTTCATGTTTGCAGCAACTGGTCAGTTAACGGTAATCGGTTGATACAGAGATTGGGGCTTCGGATTGCCACGAGTGTAGAGCAGCGACATGGTTGGTGATACACATAATGCTGGAGGTGGCGGTTCGATACCCGATCCAGTTACAATTGTTTAAAAAAATTTCGGGCAATCTTTTCTAAAACACAAAGTTTCATCAACATATTGATTAATTTAAGTGCCGGTATTAGGATATCAAGTATTTTAAAATATTATACTCAAAGGTTTCTATTGATTCAAACGCCACATGGAGTGAAGGGAATGGTGTTCTTGTCTATTATTAACGTAGACTGCACGCTTATGAGACAAGGATTAGATTAAAAATACATTCCATCTGCTTCCATTGTCTGAAATAAAAACTTAATAGCTGTACGATATTATTCCTGTTTGTATCGCAGCTATGCTAACATTTCGATGACAAAATCGATTTCTCTTTGACAGTCGCACTTCAATAACCCTTGTCACCGACCGTCGTATTGCTGGCATTTGCTGTTCAATTATGAAAACTTTGTCTTTCTGTCTGAGGACCCATCAGAGAAAGAGTCACAGTAGAGCAGACACCACCACCCCCTTCCAATGGATTGGACGTCAATCTGCTTTTTGGTTTTCTCTTTCCTGATTCGATTTGAGCGAGAAGCTTTTTACTTTGTTTTTCACCTTTTAATAGGCGCTTTACTTTGTCTGGGTGTTATACTTGGATCTGGACCTGCTGTCTGCTTGTCAGTCGTCGTCCTTGTAGCCCATGCACGAACGGCACTTTATTAAAGTGTCATCAAATTTAATTAGCTGCTCTGACAAACCTCACCACATTTTTAAATGATTTTTCGTGGATTATATGGATCATATTTTTTTCAACTTCTGACTGAAGATCTGAAGTTGGTAAAGTTCCACAAGTAACGGGAAAATTTTGACAAAGGCGTCTTGAGGCAATTGTTAAGACTAACGGACGTTAGCACGATAGCACGATGATGCATCATGTGGTATTGAATTTAGGTTGTCCATCAAGATGTCAATTATATCAAATTATTACTTTGATTGCTGCGGTTAGCCGCAAGCTTTATGTTTACGCATTCTATGGATGTTGCACCTATCATATCAATGTTAACATATCTTTGAATCATTTGAGGAGTCGTACTCTTCCGTGTAAATAATAGCATAATTGACCTGTTTTTTTTTTTCCTTTGACACACTTTACCATACTATACTTTCTTGTAGTTCCCTGAGTTTAGCGTATGATTTAACTTGTCTCACAGTATACAAATGCAAAAAATTAATTTAACAGATTAAAGAACAATTTGTTGAAGGCAGGCGCAAATTTCCAGTTGGGTGGTAATAGCTATGAAGTATTAAAGCTGCTGAACTAAAAATTGATGTACTAAACACAATATAAAATTATTCCAATGTATTCCTCCTCCATCTCTTATCCCTACAAAGGTTTGAGCTGGACGTTTTACCTTTAAGACAATTAAATATGACATTTTAACCAAAAAAAAAAAAAAACAATAAAATGAATAGATCGAATTTGTTTGAGAAAAAAATTGATTTTATTATGGTTACGGTAACTAACAACCCCCCTTTTCTATTGTAAATGCCTCAATAACAATTGATTATGTTGTACATTACAATAATTTCTATTTTATTTTTATTGTTTTTGACAATAACATTTATTGTTGCTACAATAGGTTTTGTTGCATTGTAACAATAGGTTCAATTGTTTTTATATGGTAAATTGTTATTCGGGAAGTGTCTGTTTTTATCATTTACCATCACACGCAAGGATTAGCGCTACAACCAAGTGTAGATGAATTGTGTTCGTTTTGAATATCTTCGCTGTCACGTACGAACGAAACGAACAAATCTAGATAGAGCTGGAATTAGGGCGAAACAGCTTTTGTAAACAATGACTTCTCTCGATGATTTCTAGAAAGCCAAGACTCGCTCACTCAAATCAACGTCGCCTTCGGGTAGGGAAAGACTTCCCCTTCCCGTTGGATATGTTGGTTTGCGTGGGCGTGCCTTGAGTTTCGAGAAATTATCTAGAGAAGTAATTGTTAACAAAAGCTGTTACGCCCTAATTCCAGCTCTATCAAGAAATGATTACAAAATACATCAACGAATACGCGTTTGTTGATATTCACCAGTGCTTGATCATGCAACCCAAAATTGTGAAAAAGAGAGGCGATCCTCAAAGGC